TGAAATGATTGCAGTGTCTAAAAGGAATTTGCTATCTGGACAAAATATAGCTAGAAGCATGACTACCTTAGGGTTGCCTATAAATAGACATCGGAGCTAGTTTTGTGAATTCTGCCAAGGATGCAGCTTCAATAGCCTCAAAAAAGATTGTTTCTCTTGGGCTCAGCATTGTCAGGATATACTTGGACTGGTGACGGAGGAGGGAGGTACCCGACAGAGCCAGGGGGTCTGATAGTCAACCTTCACAATTAGCCAAATGATAGGTGGCAGTTGGCCGTCATGCCCAATTTCAGTTACTGACAAATAGGAATTAGGTAAAGTAGGGGTGTTTTCTCCTTCACCCTCTCTTTCCAAAATGCAAATATTTTCTGAGTAGTGTTATCAGTAAATTTGGAAATGCAGATTATTGGGCATTTATCTGTAGGCTGTGCAGGATTGGTGTTATTTTTCTATTTTAAGTAAAAATGTCCTTGCATAACCTTTCATCCTTTCATTGGCTTTAAAATCAGGTCCAGTGAAGGACCAAATTCTTCATTTAAAAATGACTAATTTTGGCCGAGACCGGTTTGGCTCAGTGGATAGAGCGTCAGCCTGCGGACTGAAAGGTCCCAGGTTCGATTCCGGTCGAGGGCATGTACCTGGTTGCGGGCACATCCCCAGTGGGAGATGTGCAGGAGGCAGCTGATCGATGTATCTCTCTCATCGATGTTTCTAACTATCTCCCTTCTTCTCTGTGAAAAATCAATAAAATATATTTTTTAAAAAAATGACTAATTTTGGAAACCCATATGTTCAGTTAAGGTTTCTAAACTGCAATAAATATGAATTAAAGATTCATCAAAATTGTTATATTTGCAATTTTAGTTTTTGATACTTTTTGGGGAAAATCTATTCTCTGAAATTTAAAGCTTTCCACTGGTGCAGGATCCAGATATGTTCATTGCTGTTAAGACCTTAGGGGTTGTTTTTAGCCACCAGGAGACCATTCCCTGTGTGCTGAGAATAATGTGAGAGCCATAGACCGTCTGAGCCTATTGATTTGACTCAGGCAAAGTAAAGAAAATGGCCCTGTGGAAGTTCTTTGTTACATAGAAGCAGGGAAGTAGTTGTGAAAAGGAAACTAGCTGAGGGTTTGACACACAGTTCATGCTCATTTTATTTTATTTGTTTAAATTTTTTTTTTTTCAGAGAGGAAGGGAGAGGGAGAGAGTGATAAAAACATCATGATGATAGAGAATCATTGATTGGCTGCCTCCTGCCCCCCCCCCCCCTTCCGCCCCCCAGGCCCAACCCCGAAATCAAACTGTGACCTCCTGGTTCATAGGTTGATACTCAACCTCTGAGCCACACTGGCCAGGCCATGCTAATGTTAAATTATCCTGATACTTGACTATAGAATCAGGGTTCCTTTGCCGGGGAGAGTCTGCTGAAGATTTTCCCAGGTCACGTGGGGAGATTGCTTCCAGAACTCTCTCCCCTGCCCCCAAAGACTTTTTAATGTAGTGAATCCGGACTTGACCTCACAGAATCTGACCATTACTGATGGAAAAGTAACATAAACATCATTTCCAAAAATAATTTTTCATCTATTCATGAGTCAGTGTGCTTTGTACCACATGTGGAAATTTGGCTTCTCAAATAATTTCTGTCCAGAGACTGAAAGCCTAACACTAGCAGTAGCTCGCTCTGTACAGGTGAACATCGATCCTGGAATATTTCTTCCTTAGTTGATGCTTAGTAACGATCCTTTAACTTTGATCCATGTCTAGATTTTAAGGGAGATAGTATATTGAGACATGGGTTTTCAGGTTAGTGTTTTTTAAAATTTCTGTTTCTATGAGTTCAATTTGGAGAAGAGTGCCAGATTGTCTTTGGAATCACTAAACCAAGCTGTCTCCTCCTGACTTTTATGCTGTCCTTATAATGACTAACACATACCTTTTCTGCCTTCAGGTTTGTAACAAGTGTGAAACTGAGTTTCAAAGGTCCATTCCTGCCCTATTTCCTCATGGACTATACATAGCCCAGAAGCATCGTCTTACGACATTTTAAATCTCAAAATGTAACAGCACACGTTACATAATAAAGCCATAGTACTTCTAACTGAATATAGTATCCCTTTGGAGTTTGTGCACATACATTTTTTATAACCCTATGTGCCAGTATTTTAGCAGATGTATCTATTTCTTTAGGGCAGAGATTATACTTACTTATTCTCAAATAACTCTAGACACAGAAAAAAGGTTGTAAAAATACTACACTGAATTTCGTTGTCCCCTTTACACAGCTTCTCCAAACGTTAACATCTTACATAATCACAATCTAATTATGGAAACAAAATGGACATTGATATAATAATATTAACCAATAGGAGTAATTTATTTCAGTTTTTCCAGTTGTTTTATATTGTCTTTTTGTAGGTCCAGAACCCCAAAGTGCATTTCATTGTCATGTTTCCTTATTTTCATCTAGTCTGGAGGAGTCTTTTCCATTTTTCCTAACTTCAGTACTTGGGAGAGTCCTGGCTAGATATTCTGTAGAATGTCTCCCAGTTTGGGTTTATTTTGTTTCTTTACGCTAAGAATTGGCTTTTGCATGTCTGGCAAGAGTATCAGAGAAGTGACGCTGTGCTCTCCCAGTGGATTATGTCAGAGGTACATGATGACAGTATGTCTCATTGCTTGTAGTCTAATTACTGGGAAAAGATGCTTTAAGACTATGCAGATGTCCTATTTCTCATCATACTTTTTGCCTGTTAATTTTATATTCCACTGATAATTCTTTTTTAAAATATA